TAAGAAATTGTGCGCACCTGCGATGCGCTAAATGCGTCTTTGTGTGGTCATTTTTTAGCTGAGCCCCCCCCCCCCCCCCCTCCACACAAACACTGTGAAATATTGCGCACGTCCCTGATTCAAAATTACACAACTAGCACTTCTTGCAACGTCCATGTGTTATTGCGCAGCACTAAAGCACTTCTTGCAACGTCCATGTCTTATTGCGCAGCACTAAGGTGCAGAGGTCTTCTCAACAAATACCTGTAGAATGGGGCACGTGAGGTAATGCTTTGGACGCACAAAAGCGATGTAAGCCAACTGGTTGTGGACGTGTGCATTCGTGAATGTATGGTTTAGTAGTTGGCTTATTGAACAGACATGGACATTGCCATGACGACAGAGTTTCATCTCAAATGACCTGACACTGTTACGAACCGTCCTTGATTCATTTCGGCAACCATCACAAATAGGTTCGTCCAAAGTCCTATGAGTGAAGAGCGCTCTTTCCATTTCCACACATTTCGATCGAGCAAGGGGATTCCGTGAGTCCTCTCTCCGACCGGGTATCACGGGCCGGGCCGCTGCCCGGCACCAGCCACCGCACTGCCAGTGGGCTTGCCGGCTACCAACTCTCTCCTAGATGGCAGCTGACGCAGCCCTAAATCAACCGTGTCTCCTCCGCCGCAGATTATAGCGTATGACGTTCTCCTTTCGTTTCAGAGGAAGTCTGACAATGAAAGTAATCATGGCAAGTGGAGCGGAGTGGCAATTTTCCACCAAACTGACGCCGCTCCGGAGCTCCGACCATTGGTGCCCGGTGGCGCCATCTCCAGACCTCACGGAAACTAACTGATATAGGTGGCGCTGAAAGCACGACGATAGTCAGGATAGATGATGCTGTTACCTCGTGCCTACCGAACCTGTGAAATCTGAGGAGGTCCGCATCCAAGATGCATTGATGGAATTGAGGGGTTACCCGGATTTAAGGTGAACATGAAGCTTTTTCTGACGTGGCCTGCATACAGTATATGCATTGCTATGTTTTTTATCACTGATCTATCTATCTATCACTGGACACTTGGCCCCTTGTGCCTGCGCGTCACGAGAGTTAAGATTGTAGACATTGGTAACGCGGTGTGCTCTCAACTAACGACAGATGAAAGCGTGTTATACATAATTTTTTTCTCGAAATTCCCAAGGCTTGTCCAAAGTTTTGCATTATGCTTTTGGGTCTTTGCATGATGCTATTGGGTCTGTTGAGTCTCTATTGAACTTTTTACTGCTTCCTGCCGGTAAAACCTGCTTCGTTTTGCGTTATGTTATATGTCAATGTCTTCCGCAGTGGCGCAGCCAGGATTCGCCCAGGAGGGTGTCCGATGGAGGCATAAAGGCTCCTGACAGCAGGCGGTGCCGTTGTCGTCGATATATGAAGGCTGTTTTTCTCATTCTTGGAATATTTTTAGGCTCGCAATCCCATTTTGATGTATCAATGGCCCGCTTTCATGTTTTAAAACATTACGGGCATCTTAAACTGCCACGAAGCACTCCAACCCCTTTGCTACGCCACTGGTGTTCTCAGTCACCTTCAGAGTAAGTGTCGTGTCGGGCGTGAGAGCTACGGGATCACTTAAAGAGAATGGCCCACATTTAAGGACATTGGAGCAAGCATCTGGTATGATTTCATGCGTTCTCTTATAACTACTTGCATGCTTCTAAGGGGAAAGACTGCTCTAGACAACACAATCTCTCTGCTTAGTAAATATACTCCTCAATACGTCATTGTTTGATTGCCTCATCCTAGCTTACACCACATGGATTGGAGCCCAATTAATGGTCGTTTTATCTGGAAATCGTCCTCACGAACGCCAGATATGGACGGTTTTACAGTTACATTGTTCTTGGCCTTGATCCGCCATGGGTTTTGGAATGGAATAATTTGAATGACGTAATTATGGCGTCATGGATGTCTGGGTGACCCTGAAATAGCCTTCACGACATAGTCTGTACATTTTCTCGGGCGTGTAGTCCAGAGACTAGAGGGATTTAGGGCTTAAGAAGGGCAGGTTGGCGAGCTGCACCGAATGATACTCAAGATGGCTATTTCAGTTCAAAACCGTATACAACTGTGGACACTCCCTGTAAGTACTGTGCGATGCTACGACAACGTAGAGTTTCGTCTCGGTTTTTAATTTACTGCCACCTACTTATCGGGACAAATAGCTCGTTATACGTAAGTTTTAAGTTCAAACCGTAGGTGCGATGAGATGATGTTTCTCCGACGGCGCGAATGTGTGTGTGTATGTGCGTGTTGTATCTTCATCTCAATCAAATCTCTGTTTATACCTGCTTAGCGAAAAGTAAAAAGGACGATTATTTTATCGCGTCTTGGCTCATAGACCATCCGTGATGGTAAATTAGATAGCAAAGCTTCACTTTACGCGTGCCTTGATGTGACCAGTGACGATACGGTCGCTGAATATGACCCCGGCGAGAAGTGAGAAATCATGTTGTCTGCTAATGACTTCGAATCTGGCGGGAGTAAAATTACTTGGAATAATTACATTTTCCTACAAAATGAGGCGTGGTTTATGTTTGGCCGTCAGCAGCAGCCCCGGCCAGCTCCGGGTGACGGCCGGAGTCAGCTGACCCACAGGGGGGCCGCGTGCCGCCGTCGCGCACCGACTGGCCGGAGTCAGCTGACAGGCCGGCCGTCAGCAGCAGCGCCGGCTGGCTCCGGGTGATGGCCAGTGTCAGCTGATCGACCGGCCGTCAGCAGCAGCGCCGGCTGGCTCCGGGTGATGGCCAGTGTCAGCTGATCGACCGGCCGTCAGCAGCAACGCCGGCCATCTCCGGGTGACGGCCGGAGTCAGCTGACCCACAGGGAACCGCGTGCCGCCGTCACGCGCCGACGGGCCGGAGTCAGCTGACCGACCGGCCGTCAGCAGCAGCGCCGGCCGTCTCCGGTTGACGGCCGGAATCAGCTGACCCACAGGGAGCCGCGTGCCGCCGTCGCGCGCCGACTGGCAGCGATGTCGCGGATGGCCGGGGGCGGAAAGGCACCGGAGGTGGCGCGGCGCGGTTTCGTAACCGTCACCAATTCGGGTCTCAGATCATGAGGGCGGGTGGCCGGTCCGTGGCGACAGCGGAGCCGACTGAGCAGAACATTCCCGACAGCGCGGAGGCGACGCACGGTGTGGCAGTTACGAGCGCTTTCTGGCGGTGACCGTTCATCAGTTTAAGGTTTGAAAGCAGATTCTGAGGCCACCCATGGTAGCCGAGATCAGTAAATAACATCCTGACCGCGTCAGACCCGGCAGTGGTGGGCAACCCAGCCCGGCATTGGCCCGTCCGTCTGAGGCGGCAGTGGCACCACAGACCCGGTGTGATGGCGTCGGCGACTGGCCAGCGGCATCGGCGGCCGCGGCGTGGCGGCTCCGGCTTCCCACCCGGCGAGCGCGGGCCGTCAGGCAGCCGCCGGCCGGCCGACGGCGCCCGCTGCACGGTGAGAAGCTGTGACCGCACCCCGGAACGGAGCGGCGCGGGCCGCCGGCCGGCCGGCTCGCGCCCCGGCTCAGCCTGGCCCGGCACACCGCAGCCCGAGAAAGCGGGCCCGCCGAACGGGAATGTCGGACGGCCGACAGCAGCGGGCGCCGACAGCAGCCCGGTGGCGATCCCATTTGACCGGGGAGCTCGGCCGGGGCCGCGGTCGGAATGTCGGGTTTGCTGACCAGCCGGGAAAGTCGGCCCGTTGCCGGGCTGCCCCCCGCCGGCGGCGCGAGGTGCTCTCGGAACTCCCAGAGGCACTTTCCTGCACTTCATCAGGGCCGAGCCGAGCCGGACACGTGTTTTACCGGACAGCGGAGCGGCGACGTCCCGCCGCCGAGGCCAGGCGACACAGCGGGACGGGGGCCGCGTTCTAGCCGGCGGCTCGGAACCGGCGGCTTGCTGTCACCGCCACCCGGCCACCCGGCCCCACCGGCGGTCCGTGCCCGCCACCCGGCCACCCGGTCCACCGCCGGTCCGTGCCCGCCACCGGGCCACCCGGCGCACCCACCGGTGCGCGCCCGCCGCCAGGACAGCGTCGGAGTGGCGCACACAACCACCAAGACCTTCCTTTTGGCCGACGTTGCGTCACATCGCAATGACTGGGGTCGGCATCGGCGGCGGTACAGCCGTGGCGTAAGAGCGCCGGGCGTGTGACACTTGCTGGCGGCGCGCGCCCGGTAGGCGGTGCCCGGTTTTCGGAGCGTCCTTCCGCCGAGGCCGGACGAGAGAGTGCCGGGTCAGGCGCCGCAGGATACCGCCCATTGACCCCGGCCGCCGCAGTCACGTGACCTGGCGCGGCGATGCCCCTCCCCCTCCCCCGTCGATCGAGGGCGCTCGCCGGCCTCGGACCATGGCGGTCGACTAACTGGCGCATGCACGGGGCAATAGCGAAGCATTGCTTCTCGCATGAGTGGCTGCGCTTATCGGCAGGAGCGCCTCTTGGCAGAGGCGGATGAGAGGTCGCTTCTGTGTAACGGTAGTCGGAGAGATTGACCTGTTCAGCATGCTCACCCACGGAACATTTGACCTGTTTACGTGGCTTCTCATGGCTAATGTCATCACGACATGACGGTTTGAAGCGGACGACCTTTGTTATACCAGAAATCAGACTAACACCTGTTGAGTGGTTGATGTGCCACTTCTCTAAATGTAATCCGAATGCAAATTAATTTTAGGTCAGTCATCCTCATTTTTGAAGATGCATCAGCTGAGAACTGCGTGTGTGTGGAATTACAACAGCTGGACTCGATGAATCTGCTTGCGGAAAACCTAAGGGATAGTCTGAACGTGTTGAAAGTGAGCTGCAAAAGGCCCATGCATAAGCAGCGGGGAAAAGGCTGAGATGGCACGTAGCAATTGGTGCAGAACAGACAGTCGATGGCAGAAGAGGCGATGAGCCAAAGGTGAAAATAATGCCCACCAATATAGAACAAGCGTGAGACCACACGCGTTGCCAGCATCGCGTGACTTACTTGCGACTGCGATCGTTGTGCCGGCATCGTCCACGTCGACCGACGCCGGCGGCGGCGGCGACGGCGGATCAGGGCAGCTTGTCGTCGGCTGACCGGTCGAGTCGGCCTGGTGCGGTTCATCTCCGCGTCGGTAGTCGGGCTCTACCTCACCGGCTTCGGCCCGCTCCAGCTCCTCGAACTGCCGCTCCACCTCGGTGACGGTGACGGCCCGTCCTCCCGCTCCAGCGCCTCCAGGTGTCGCTCCGGCCCGCTGGCGGCGACCGCATGGGCCGGGCCCCCGCAGCTGATGCTGTTCACCGTCAGCACCTTGGAGCGGAGCGCGGCCACCTGAGCCTCGATGTCGTCCGCCGCGGCGCCGGTCACGTCACCGCCGGCCGGCGCCGGGAGCGAGTCCGGCAGGTGCCGCTCGGGCTCCTCCTCCAGCGAGCTGGGCGACGAGTGGACGGCGGCCACGGAGGCGCGGAATAGGCCGCTGTCCGGGGCACACGGGGCAGGCATGGTGGCTGACGGCGGCTCCAGCTCCGGCTGTGAGCAAGAGCCAGCCTCTTCTTCCTCCTCCGCAGGTGCTGTCACTACCTCTACTCCGCTGACGGTCTGGAGAGGGGCTACGGCGACCCCGGCGGAATAGAGAACCGGAAGAGGATAGTCGGAGCTCGGCTCGGGAACCGAGGAACAGTCTGTGGGACCCGGCTCAGGGGCCGCGAGGGAGCTGGCGGAGCCGGGCTCAGCGGCCGTGAGGGAGCTGGCGGAGCCGGGCTCAGCGGCCGTGAGGGAGCTGGCGGAGCCGGGCTCAGCGGCCGTGAGGGAGCTGGCGGAGCCGGGCTCAGGGGCCGTGAGGGAGCTGGCGGAGCCGGGCTCAGCGGCCGTGAGGGAGCTGGCGGAGCCGGGCTCAGGGGCCGTGAGGGAGCTGGCGGAGCCTGGCTCAACTGTCGCTGGCGGACTTGTGAGAAGTAGCAGCGAAGTATCGGGGAGTGGTTGGTCCGGCGCCGCAACGTGCAGCTTTATTGCCTGCGGAAAGTGAACTGTTGCTTCGGTCGCTCCTGATTCTGTGTCGTAGTCGCGTTGAGCTTCGGCAGACGGTCCGTTTTGAAGCGCGATTCCAGACGGCGAATCTTGTTCCTCTGACGCCGCAATGTCCGCTACGGATACTTCCGAGATGCTGCTGGCGGCATCGCCCTCCCCAGGAGAGGTAGCGTCCGACCCAGGTTCCTTCTGCGCTTCCGAGTTATTATAGGTATGCAGTAACTCCGCGACTTCCACCTCTACATCTGCAGGGGCATTCAAGCTTGAGCAAGTGACGTCAGATATGATAACTTGGACCCCGTCTAAAGCAGGCGTCTCGGCACTAGCAGGTTCACCTGCCTTGGTATCGTCGGGCGTACCTTGTTCCTCTCCCGGGTGACCTCCGTCCTCCGCCTTTTCCTCGCTCCGCTCTCCCGTCTCAGCCTCTTCCTCACTCTCCCGATGCCTCCCCGCTCTTCCCGCCGTGCGCGGCCGCTCGGCCCGTGTCGTCGCGGCCGCCGTCGTCGTGCGCGTGCTCCGGCAGCTGGGCGGCCGGGCCGACTGGCGCGCGGCCGGCGGCCGGCCCGTGCGCGCTATGTCGCGGATCGCTGAGCACGGCCGGCGCGGCGGCTGACGGCAGCGGGCCGCGTCCGCCGCGCTCGCCCACCGCCCACGAGCCGTCCGTCGCGATCTGGATCACCTGTGAGCCGCCCACCGTCACCTTGCAGGCGACGGGGCGCGGCCGCGGCGCCGCCAGCTGCTCCGTCTGCTCGTCAGGCACCACGGCGGCCCGCTGCACGGCGCTGCGCAGCACCAGCGGCTTCTTCGTCAGCGGCTTCGGCTTGGGCGGCAGGGGCTCGGCGCGCTCCTCCAGCACGCACTCGAAGCTGGGCTCGCTGTGCCGCTCGATGCCGTTCCGGGTCCACCTCCGGCTTCGGGAGGTCGTCGGGGTGACGTGAGGTGCGCTGCGGTCCTCGCCCGCGATGGACGTCGATCGGGCAGGCACCTCCGGTGCGGGCTCGTCGTCATCCGACAGGTCTGAGCTTCTGTCGACGGTGGGCTCAGCGTCGGGTAGCGTCGGCCTGGTAGGAACCGCATCCGTGTCGTTCGCCGCACCTGTATCGCAAGACGCCTCAGCCTGGCATGCGGGCGATGAATCCTCGCTGAGGAAACTCTTCATTGGAAGCCGCTGCTCCAAGTCAGACTTTACGGCGTCGACGGACTCAGCGGCGATTGTCAGCATCTCCTCTTCCACCGAGTTAGACTTTAAGTTCTTGTAGTCTTTGAGATCCAACTTGTCGACGTACTTGCTCTTCTTTTTCTTCAATAGTGCTTCCTGCTTTTTATTGGCCTCATTGCGCTTAAATTCCTCAAAGGCCTTGGCTATATCCAGTCGGGAGTTCCCGAAGCCAGGCAGTGAAAATGACCGATCTGGCGGCCTCGGCGCCGTGCGCTTCTTTTTCGGCTCATTTTTTTCCGCTTGTATGCTGCTTTTCTTTGCCTCAAGTTTCTTTTTCAGGTCCGATTGAAGAGCCTTCGGAGGGCTGATCTTGAGCAGCGGGGCTGCCGGTTTAGATGTGGCAGATGTCACCTGGCCCGGCAGAGGTGGAGGCGGCGGTATCACCCCCGGAACGCCAGCAACCCTCTCCACGGGCAACGTGACGTCAGGCTTGTTGGATGGCACACTGAGGGACGGCACCAGCTTAGGCTTGCTGACCTCCTGTGGCTCCTGCGTTCGGCCCTTCTGAAGGGCCTGCGCCACCGCTTTGCGGGCCATCTGGAACGCCGAGTTGTCAAAGTTCTTGCCACGCTTCTTCTCCGCCAGCTGGGAGCTTACGTTGGCCTTGCCGCTCTCCGGCTCAGGCTTAGGGCCGTTCGTCTTCCTCTGCAGCATGTCGTGCAGCTGAGCGACAAACGTCGGCGAGAGTTTGTTCTCGATCTCGCTGGCGGGCCGCTCGTCCGGCCTGGCCGCGGGCAGGTCGAGCTTCGGGCGGTCACCGCCAGGGCCTGACGGTCTGCCGGCCGGCGGCAGGCTCGCCGACTGGCTGAGGCGCTTCTTCAGCTGCGCCACGCCAGCCGCTGATGTGAGCGGCGCGGGCGGCAGCGGCGGCGGCGGCGGGATCCGGCCGGCCGTAGCCGGCGGTGGCGGCGGTGGCGGCGGTGGTGCGCGCGGCGGGCCGAGGCCTCTCGTGCTCTCCGCGGGCGGCGACGTCGACGTCTCCGAGTTGGGGCTCAGCTTCTGCGGCGACCCACCCGACGAGCCGACGAGCCTGACGATGCCGCACGAGCCGGAGGCGGCGACTGGTACGAGTCCGTAGCCGTGGTCGGAGCGCACCTCCACCTCCAGGTGGCCGTATGTGAGGTCACCTGCGGGTCGATCCTCCGGCTCGGCTGGCAGCAGCGGCCGCGAGTCGTCCCCCCAGATTTTCGTAGATAGGCGGCTCGTCCGGCTCGTCCAGCACCAGCCGTTGGCATAGATGGGCTGCTCAATCCGGCCGTTTTCGTACAGCGGACCGGCCAGCTCATCGTCCGTGTCGTCGTTCTCGTACAGCGTGCGCTGGTCCTCGTCGACGGTGGCGCCGCCGTCGGCTCCGCGCGAAACTCGCTCAGCGTCTCGTAGATGGCCGAGTCGGCCTCCGACTCCGGCTTTGGGAACGGCACGACGCCGTCGCGCAGCACGCTGCGGCAGCCGGCCACGTCGTAGCCCTGCATCTGAGCCACCACGCGGATGTACTGCGACACGGGCCGTCCAGCGTGCGTGTCGGCGCCGGCGCGGGACGGATGCCACCAGCGGGCCGCTGCGCCGCTTCTGCGGCACCTCCGGGTCGTCGGCGGCCAGCGGGGCTCCCAGTGCG